ATCGCGCTCGGCCTCGGCGCCGGCGCCGTCGAGCCCGCCGCCCTTCTCGACGAGGACGACCACCTCGCCGTCCAGCTCCGCCGGGCGGGCTGGCACGGAGCGGTGGCGGATGACGATCGTGCCGAAGAGAGAGGCGTAGACGTCGCCCATGACCTGCGGAGGGGCGAGGAGAAGGGAGGCGTGGGGAGAAGCACGGGCATGTGTGCGGGCGAGAGAGTGGGGAGTAGAAGAGCGGCGGGCGCAGAGGGCGGCGGAGAGAAGGCGGCGCGGACCTTGAGGGCTTGATAGAAGAAATCGTCCTCTGCCGCCGTCCTTGGCTTTTGCGGGAGCGAAGAGAAGCTGCGGAGGGGGGGCGCACGGGGGGGGGCGGCAGAGTGTGAGAGAAGCGACACGTGATCGATAGGCGCAGAGGGAAGGCCTGTCCTCCCACGCAGCGCAGCCACTGGGCCCGGGGTGGGTCTGGGGCAGCGGCGCACTCCCAGAAGAGGGCGGTCACGTGCTCGCCGAGCGGGTCGCGCAGGAAGCGCCGCACGTTCGCCAGATACTCTCCAGTCACGTCGGGGTGGTCCGGCGAGGCCCAGCCGTAGGTCAGCCCGGCGACTTCGCGGCTCAGCGAGCGCAGCGCCGCAACAGCCTCCTCCGGCGTGAGGAAGATGCGGATGCGTCGCTCCTCCTCCATTCGCTCCAGCTCTTGCCGGCGGAGGAGTTTGGGCAGCACCGCCTCGGAGCCGTCGGCGCGCAGGAACTCGGTGCGGAGCAACTTGATGGCGCCCGAGCGGAGGGCGGCGACGAGCGCCTCGTCGAGGGCCGCCAGCAGCGGGATGCCCTTGTGGTCGGCGGCGGTGAGGGGGCTCATGGCGCAGTATGGCACCTGACCAATGCGCGGCACGCTTGCTCTGCCCTTATCCGCAGCATCGTTGCGACGTTGGCCGCCACAGTTGCCGACTCTTATCCCCCCCCCCCCCGGGGGGGGCCTGCTCTAGTCTCACACGTTCGCCCCTGTCGCCTGTCTGTGTTGTTGTGCTGTTGTTTGTCTCTTGGCACCTTGGAGTGCTGGGGGGGGCGACAGGGGGGACGTGGCCTGAGTGATGTGTACGCCCACTCAGGATGTGTGGCAGCCCGCTGGCTGTGTGTCTTGTGAGCTTGTTTGTGTCTGTGTGTCGCTCGTGCGTGTCGTCATCATCTGTCTTGCGTCCACCCATACCGCGTTGGTGTCCAGTCCGAGCCTGACTGTTCTTCACCTTACTACATACATGGGGGCACTTTGCTAACCCGTCTGTGAAGAGCGCCTGTCTAGACAGCGGTCTAGACAAAGCTACAAGTTCAAAACTTCAAGTTCTCAAGTTCTGTTAAGTTCTGCTGTCTAGACGCCCCCCCCCCCCCCCCCCCGCGAAGGGAAATTTCCAAGTAAGGGGGCCAACCCTATTTTGGTTGGTGGGTGGGTGGGTGGGGAGTGGCCTCCGCAGCCCCAGGGGTGCTGTGAGTGTCGTCCAGCCACGACTACGAGACTTGACTGTGAAGAGTGGAGCCATGTGCCACTGTCTGGACGTTGTCTGGACGCTTGTCTGGACACACTGTCTGGACAGGCTCAGGACTGTCTAGACATCTGCGGGAGCTCCACAAACCAGGTTACTCTTACCTTACACTTACCTTACCAAATATGAGTTATGACGAATAAGAAATGAGCGCTGCTTGATGAGCGCTGCTTGGCAGTCGTCCACGCTGTGGGGGTTGTGTGTGGGCCCTGTGTCTGGGAGGGAGCAGGGAGGCGCAGGGAGTGGGGTGCAGGTTGCTCACCCACGGCACCGGGCCGGTGCTTGCACTTTGAATGCCGTGGGGCTCCTGCCCGTGTCCCGGGCGTGGAGATGCGAGGGTCGCCCCCCCTTGTAGAGGGTAGACAGTGTCCTAATCTAAAATCTGGGAATTCAGGATATGAGGCATCGCTTCAGTGAGGCCAAAGTGAGTTTATGGATGTGTGAGAACGGTACGGGACACGAGGAAGCACGCGGACCGACTCGTCGGCGACTCTGCTGCACGGCGTTTCAGAATTTTTCTCAGCGTGCGCGAGACGTGGAAGAGTGCCACCGTCGGGTAGGACGGGTCGGCCCGGAGTATCAGAGTAGCCGTCGTGGTCGTGGCGAGCAGCGACGGCCACTCCGGCGCCGCGTCGGCAACATGGGAGCATGTCCACTGCCACTTCGCGGTCTCGCAGCGCTGTTGTCGCCCGAAACGCCGCATGTACCTCTGGCGAGCCAAAGATCGACTCGCATGTCGATTTCGACTTGACGGCAGCATGGAGGCATCACGTCTCCATGCTGCCGTCAAGTCGGAGCCAGTCTGCGGCGACCACAGCGCTTGCAGGAGCCTCCTCAGGAGGTACATGCGAGCTTTTCAGAGTCAAGCGATTGCGCGAAATCCCAGACTGGTGGATTTTGGGGCGCTGTCTACCCCCTACCCCTTGCCCACCCCACCACCACTTAAGTGTGTGCGATGGCAGACGTTTACCTTACCTTACCTTAGTCCTTACCCCTTAGAAATGAGCGCGCGACTCCGGCCGCTCTCCTTTTCTTTTTGCGGTGAATTCATACTAGATGAACATCCCTTCCTCACTGCGCCAATCCACCGAGGGCGCGCAACAATAGACGACGTACAAAACAGGGTCACGAGGGTGTCCCCGCGCATCACCGACCGATACCATAACATGCGCTGCCCGCTGCTCGTGCTGGTCGCTGTGCGGCTCTCGTCCCCTGCCACGCCCACCGCCACACCGCCGCCGCATGCCCGTCGGCGGCGGCGGATGCGGAGCGGGCGCCTCGCCCGCCTGCAAGGCCCCCCCTCTCGCCCCTCTCACCACCCCTTCCCTCCGAGGTACGCGTCCACCGACTTTGCGACGCCGCGACCCTCGTTGATCGCCCAGACGACGAGCGACTGGCCGCGCCTATTCATTCATTAACACCTTAGCAGACGGCTTAGACGACCTATTCATTATTAAGAGACGACAAGCGACTGGCCGCGCCGGCAGTCGCCCGCCGCGAAGACGCCTGAGGCAGAGCGGACGGCGTGAAGAGGCGCCGTTCACAGGGTTAGGCGGCAGCTGCCCGCCGAGCAAGCACCGGGGGCGGAGGTCTTGTAGTCGCTCGTGCTCGCCTTGAGGCGGTCCGTGCGTCAACTCGTTAGTGAATGAGTCGCAGGTGTCGGTTGTCTTTGACTTTGAGCGCGGGCGAATCAACTCATGGACTACTCGACTGTCGGCGTGGCTGGTTGAGAGGATCGCCTTTGCGTTGGAGCGCTGGTCGGTCTCGAGCCGCAACGCGCGCACGATCTCCTGCGAAGGGGAAGGGGAAGGGGGTGGGGGGGGGTACGGATACTTCGCGGGCGTGTGGCAGAATCGCGGACATGTCGTGGGCGTGTCGTGGCCGTGTCGTGGGCGTGCAATGGGCGCGTCTTCGCCTGCTCCGGGTGGCGGAACCCCATCGCGAGGATGACCAAGTCCGCGGGGTGCTCCCTCTCGCTCCCCTCCACCTGTTCACACTCCCTCAGAAGTGAGCCGATCCAGCCTCGTCATCGGTGCCCCCCGCCCGCCCACCCCCCTCCCCCCTCTCACCTCTGCGAACCGGCCGTCCGGCCCAACCTCAACTTGCACTGTCTTGACGGCGCGCACGCGGCCGGCGCCTGGTCACAACAGCTGCGGGCATGGGCAGGCGCTGTTCACAGCGGCGTGCCTCCGGCGCGCTGTGAATGGAGGCGCCGTCCGAGACGAACTCCTTGGAGAGGACGGAGTAGGTGCGCGGGTCGGCGCCTTGGGGCGAAGGTTCCGAGAAACTTCAGGGAAGGGTCCAGGAGAGAAGAGCAGCAGGTGCAAGTCAGGGCAGCAAGTGCGGCTGATAAGGCGCTGAAAGCGACGTGCGACTTCTCGTCGCCATTTCTCATCTCGGCTGCACCTCGGCTGCACACCTCGGCTGCACATCTCGGCTTTTTCTCGGCTGCACCTCGGCTGTCTCTCGGCTGCCCCTCGGCTGCCCCTCGGCTGTCTCTCGGCTGTCTCTCGGCTGTCTCTCGGCTGCACATCTCGGCTGTATCTCGGCTGTCTCTCGGCGGTATCTCGGCTAGGCGCGCGCCGAAGCGGTGCGACGCCTCCTCGTGGCCGTAGTCGACTCGCATGATCCGCGGCCTAAGCGACGAAGGTGTGAGTGGTGAGAAGCAGCTCCTCTGCCAAGCAGGCCGACGCGCAGGCTTCGAGGCCAGAGAGGCCACGGGTTGCCGGACGCCTCGCCGCGCTTGTCCTGGTTCAAAGGAGGGGGTGGCGGTGAGCGGCGGGTGGAGAAGTGTGGCCGACGGCGGGGAACTTTCCAGGAAGTGTCCAGGAAGTGTCTCAGGAAGTGTCCAGGAAGTGTCTCAGGAGGTGTCTAGGAGGTGTCTAGAAAGAGTCTAGGAGGTGTCTAGGAGGTGTCTAGAAAGAGTCTAGGAGGTGTCTAGGAGGTGTCTAAGAGGTGTCTAGGAGGTGTCGAGGCAGTGTCGAGGACGTGTCTAGGAGGTGTCGAGGAGGTGTCTGGAAGAGGCGAGCCTGCTCGTCGGGGGGGGGGGTAGTGTCTAGGAGGTGTCTAGGAGGTGTCTAGGAGGTGTCTAGGAGGTGTCTAGGAGGTGTCACCTGCTCGTCGGGCGGGGCGGGGAAGAGCTCGAAGTTGATGAGGCTCTTGCAGCCGTGCCGCAGCGACGTGCCTGGCAGGGGTGTGCAGGACGTGTCTCGGAGGTGTCCAGGGAGGCGCTTGCAGCCGTGCCGCAGCGACGCGCCGATGCAGTCCGTGCCGGTGTCTCCGCCGCCGATGACGACGACGTGCTTGCCTTTTGCAGAGATGAAGCCGCCGCCGTACTTGGAGGTGAGCCCGACCTGGAGGGGGACGGGCGTGATTAATTAATTAGCAAGATGATTACTTCATTGATTAATTAGGTGAGCCCGACCTGGAGGGGGACTGGCGTGATTAATTAAGTAATTAGCAAGGGTGATTACTTAGTTGATTAATAGGGCTAGCCCGACCTGAAGTGGGACTTGCGTGAGTGAAGGCCGAGTAGCTGAGTAATCACTTCGAGGCGCCGTCCCAACCTCCCGTTCATCAGATCACCAGGACATCAGCTTCATCAGCCCGTCCATTAGTCATTAACTAATGGGTGTGAGCTAGCTCTCGCCTCTGGGGTGACGTCCGTGGTCAGCAGCGCCGGCGGGTTGGCGAAGAGCGCCTGGTAATTAATAGTTGAGTAATTAAGTACCGTTAGTTAATTAACAGCAGCGCCGGCGGGTTGGCGAAGAGCGCCTGTTAATTAATAGTTGAGTAATAAATTACAGTTAAAACAGCAGCGCCGGAAGGTTGGCGAAGAGCGCCTTCTGGTTGCGCGTGAGGAACTCCATCGCGTACACGATCCTAAGTCGTTCATTCGGCGAGATTGATGAGCTCACTAGGCGTGAGGAGGAGCTCCATCGCGTAGACGATCCTAAGTCGTTCATTCGGCGAGATTGATGAATTCACTAGGCGTGAGGAGGAGCTCCATCGCGTAGACGATCCTAAGTCGTTCATTCGGCGAGATTGATGAATTCACTAGGCGTGAGGAGGAGCTCCATCGCGTAGACGATCCTAAGTCGTTCATTCGGCGAGATTGATGAATTCACTAGGCGTGAGGAGGAGCTCCATCGCGTACACGATCCTAAGTCGTTCATTCGGCGAGATTGATGAATTCACTAGGCGTGAGGAGGAGCTCCATCGCGTAGACGATCCTAAGTCGTTCATTCGGCGAGATTGATGAATTCACTAGGCGTGAGGAGGAACTCCATCGCGTACACGATCCTAAGTCGTTCATTCGGCGAGATTGATGAACTCACTAGGCGTGAGGAGGAGCTCCATCGCGTAGACGATCCTAAGTCGTTCATTCGGCGAGATTGATGAATTCACTAGGCGTGAGGAGGAGCTCCATCGCGTAGACGATCCTAAGTCGTTCATTCGGCGAGATTGATGAATTCACTAGGCGTGAGGAGGAGCTCCATCGCGTAGACGATCCTAAGTCGTTCATTCGGCGAGATTGATGAATTCACTAGGCGTGAGGAGGAGCTCCATCGCGTACACGATCCTAAGTCGTTCATTCGGCGAGATTGATGAACTCACTAGGCGTGAGGAGGAGCTCTCCATCGCGTAGACGATCCTAAGTCGTTCATTCGGCGAGATTGATGAACTCACTAGGCGTGAGGAGGAGCTCCATCGCGTAGACGATCCTAAGTCGTTCATTCGGCGAGATTGATGAATTCACTAGGCGTGAGGAGGAGCTCCATCGCGTACACGATCCTAAGTCGTTCATTCGGCGAGATTGATGAACTCACTAGGCGTGAGGAGGAGCTCTCCATCGCGTAGACGATCCTAAGTCGTTCATTCGGCGAGATTGATGAACTCACTAGGCGTGAGGAGGAGCTCCATCGCGTAGACGATCCCGTCGAGGTCGCGGCCCGGGATGGGGAGGTTGTTTGGCACCTGCGGGGGGGGGGGGGGGGGAGGCAGTGGCGTGAGTCGTGATTTCATGAGCGCCAGAAGGCGTCTAGGAGGTGTCTAGGAGGTGTCTAGGAGGTGTCTATGAGGTGTCTATGAGGTGTCTAGGAGGTGTCTAGGAGGTGTCTGGTGTCTAGGAGGTGTCTAGGAGGTGTCTAGGAGGTGTCTACGAAAATGCACCGTCGACCCGATGGCGAGGACGGTGGCGTCGAACCCCTCCACGGTCTCGCTGATGGCGGCGGCGTCGACCTCTGCGCCGGTGACGAAGGAGATCCCCTCCGCCTCCATCAGGTCCACCTAATCGATTAATTAATAATTGATCAACTCTTTTAAGTGACGAAGGAGATCCCCTCCGCCTCCATCAGGTCCACCTAATCGATTAATTAGTTTAACTCAATCTACTGATGAGCGACGAGAGGGTATCCCTCCGCCTCCGTCGGGCCCACCCTGCGCTGCACAGTCTCCTTGTCGAGCTTCATGTTTGGGATGCCTGCAAGGGGCAGGGGTCCAGGGAGGGTCCAGGATTTGTCTCGGAAAGGTCTCATCCGAGCCTCATGTTTGGGACGCCGTAGGTGAGGAGCCCCCCCGCCCGCTCCGCCCGCTCAAACACGGTCACCGCGTGGCCGTACTTCTTGTTGAGCTCGTCCGCCGCGGCGAGCCCGGCAGGGCCCGACCCAACCACGGCGACCTTCTTGCCCGAGCGGCGCGCGGGCGGCGCCGCAACCACCCACCCCTCGGACCACGCCCGCTCGATGATGGAGTACTCCATCGACTTGATCGTGACGCTCTCGTCGACCTGTTCACAGGTGCTGCTGTGAAGAGACGCCGTTCACACCTCCCGGCGACTTGATCGTGCTCTCGTCGACCAAGCCGGCGACGCAGGCCCCCTCGCAGGGCGCCGGGCAGACGCGGCCTGTGGACAGAGCGGCAGGCGTGGAGAGGGCGGCGATGTGGTAGTGTCTAGGGAGTGTCTAGGGAAGTGTCTAGGGAGTGTCTAGGGAGTGTCTAGGGAGTGTCTAGGGAGTGTCTAGGGAGTGTCTAGGGAGTGTCTAGGGAGTGACTAGGAAGTGTCTAGGAAGCGGCCTGTGAACTCGGGGAAGTTGTTGGTCGAGGCGAGGTTGGAGTAGGCCTGGGCGGGAGAATTACATACAATTAACAATTAATTAGGCGAGGTTGGAGTAGGCCTGGGCGGGGGCGGGGAGGCGTCTGGGAAGTGTCCAGGTTGGAGTAGGCCTGCCGCCACTCGCCGTCGAAGACCTGCTGGTTGAACTCGGGGATGACGTTGCTGATCGGGCAGCCCGTGTGCGTGTGGCAGAAGGGCGTGCCGCAGTCCATGCACCGCGCAGACTGGCGCGTGAGCTCGGCCTGGTCTGCGGGCCCGTTGATCTCTGCGTAGTCGGCGAGCCTGTCGGCTGCGGGCCGGTATGGCGCAGGAGCCTTGCGCTCGATCTCGATGAAGCCTGCCGCGTCGGCGCGGTTGGAGGGACTCGGCGGGCCGGTGCGGGCCGGCGCTTGGAGCGAGGGGAAGGGGGCGGGGGGGCAGAGGCTGGGCAGAGGCGGGGGCGGTGGGCGGGTGGAGGGAGGCGGGCGCGATGGTGGCCGAACACACGACTGGCGGCTCGGCCGTGCCCGTTCGCCGTCCCATCCAAGCGTTGGGAGAGGGGCGGGGCGACGCGCTCCTCTCAGCTTGTTCAGCGGGGCGACCGAGCCGTCTCGCCGCTGGACGGTGGAGTGGCGCAGCAGCGTGCGGCGCGCGGGCGAGCGGCCGTCCAGCAGCAGTCTCCTGCCCATGGGCGACGCGCGCAGGGCGGCAGGCATGTTTGCGAGCGAGGACCGCGCGACGAGTTCTTGGGGCTGCTGGGCCGTGCGACGAGGCGCTTTAGTTGATGATCGGCAGCAGCCAGCAGCGTTCACAGTGCGAAACCAGTGTTGCAACCTGGCAGTTGCCACCGTCAACTCTAGACCCCGTCAACTCTAGAGTGTCAACCACGACTCCCGACACGGGAACGAGCAACGCTACCGAATCTCTGAGGCGATCTCTGCTGAAAGAATTCGCGGAGAAAATAGCGAGCGAGCAGGTTTTTATCTCGGCGCGAGGCTGGGGGCATAAAACAAAAACAACAGGCGCATGCTGCTCCTCTCTCTCCACGCGTTAGCCTGGACGCCGGCGCTGCCCGGACTGCCCGCCTCCCGCCCGCCGCTCCGCCGCTCCGCCACCCTTCGCCCGGCGCTGCGGCTCGACGAGAGAGAGCTCGAGGCGTTGCAGCGGCAGGCGGCAGAGCTGGAGGCGGAGGCACGGCGGCTCGAGGCGGCGGCCGACGCGATGGAGCAGCGAGGTCCTGGCGACGCCGACGAGCAGCCGCCATCAAAGCCGCCAGAGCCGGACCTCGGCCTGATCAGGTACCTCCTGGCTGCGGCGGCCGCCGCCCTCGCTGCCGCCGCGGCCGGCCTGACGTCGCAGGCCCTGCTGTCGACGTTCGCCGCGCCGCCGCCGCCGCCGCAGGCCGAGCGTGCCGTCGCGGCCCCAGCGATGGCGGCGGCGGGAGGCGGCGAGGCGGCGGCCAAGGCTGCGAGGCCGACGCCGCCGGCAAAGGCCACCGTGCAGACGGCGATAGCCGACTCGGACTTTGCTGCTGGGAGGGCGGCGGCGGCGGGCGCGGCGGAGGCGAGGGCGGTTGCCGCGGAGAAGAGCGCAGCGGTAGCCCTGGTCGAAGCCGAGGCGGCGGCGGGGAGGGCGGCGGACGAGGCCGCTGCGAGGGCGGCGGCGGTGGAGAGCGCTGCTGCGAGGGCGAGGGCGGCGGAGCAGGTGTGTGTGCAACACCGCACGCCGGCACCGCTAGCCCAGCCCAGCTCAGCTCAGCTCAGCTCAGCTCAGCTCTCAGCTCAGCACAGCACAGCAGGCACCCTCACCCACACCCTAACAGGCCCAGCCGTCGGCGGCTGCTGTATAGGCGGACGCGGCGGCAGAAGAGCGCGCGGCCGCCGCGTTTGGCCCGGAGCTGCCAAAGGTGTCGACGAGATACAGCCGAGATCTAGCCGAGGTAGTGGCGAGATCGAAGCGAGATTAGCGAGATGTAGCCGCCGCCGTGTGTGGCCCCGATCTGCCAATGCGGGTTCGCTCGTCGCCCGGCGTTGAGAGTGTGAACGGCGTCTCTTCACGGCGCGCTGCTGTGAACAGGAGCTGCGCCCGCTGGCAAAGCTGGGCAAGGAGGAGGCGCGGCACTCCCGAGACACTTCCGAGACCCCTCCACTCGCCCCGCTGCCTCGCCCCGCTTCGTGCACACCTCGCCACAGCCTCACTCCGGCCAGACGCTCTCTGCTGCTCGGCTCGCCGCCGGTCTCGCCAGTCTCGCTGCCGGCCGCTGCTGACCGCCGCCCCTCTGACTGCTGCAGGGGCTGGTCGCCGGCGTGTCTGCGCTGGAGAGAGAGGCGGACGCGGCGGCGAGGGCGGCGGCGGACACGGCGGCGGCGCTGGCGGCGGCCAAGGGCGGCGCGGCGGCGGCGAGGGCGGCGGAGGCGAAGGCGGCGGCGCGAGTGGTTGCGGCGCGCAAGGCGGCGGCGGCGGCGGCGGCGGGGGCGAAGCGGGCGGCGGCGGAGGCGAGGAGAGCGGAGGCCAAGGCGGCGTCGGCGGTGGCCGGGGAGGAGGCGGCGGAGGCGGCGGCGGCGGCGTCCGAGGCTAGTGTTGCCGTAGCATACATCTAGGCAGATGGTCGTTTTGCGCGGCTGTTTCAGCAACTTGCCGCAATTCGAGACTGGGTCCACACGCTTCAGCGCACGATCTGCACACTCTAGGCCAGCCTCGCCCGCGCCAGAGCGGTGGCGAAGGCGGCGGCCGCGAGGGCGGCAAAGGAGCGCGCGGCGGCGGCGAGGGCGGAGGTGGAGAGGGCAGCGGCGGACGTGGCGGCAGAGAGGGTGGCGACCGAGGTGGAGGTGGGCGCGGCGGCGGCGGCGGAGAGGGCGGCGGCGAGCAGGGCGGCGGCGGCGGCGGTTGAGCTGAGGGAGGAGGCGGCGGTTGCGGACCTGCTGAGGAGCGTCGTAGGGGAGGCGGCCGCGCCAGACTAGGCTGTCGCATGTTTTTCATGTTTTTTGAAATCGCATTTTGCATTTTGCAGATTGCATTGCCTCGAGCCTTCTCAGATGGCACTAGAGTAACACATAAGAGGTGAGACGGTGGGATTTAAAGCCAAAATGCAAAAAGCTAAAAGGAGAGATTTAATTAAAGGAGAAAGCTCCTCCGTTCTATCTATGACGTCCCTCCGTTTATCTGACTTGCACATAACTTAAACGTATGCATAGACTAAGCTAGCCAGCCCTCCGCATTTCGCCCCTATCCCCAGGGGCAACATTAGCGTTGGAATAACGTTCGTCGAACGCCAGCAGCAGGCCAGTGCAGTAACATGCTGTCGAGAGCGCCGCGACGCTGAGTGAGGGTTGCGGCTAGGGCACGGTCGCAACGGCAGCGGAGATTCCGTTGGATGCGACCCTGGACGAGCCGCCGACGGCGGCGGTGGCGATGGCCGCATTGCCCATCATTTGCTGGCCAACCGTTCCACCGCCGCCACTTCCGTCGTAGCCGCACTTGGGGCAAGCATTCGACGACGGCGCATGCGCGGGCGCGGGTGCCTCACCTCCGTCGCCCCCTCCCTTCTTGCCTCCTCTGCTGCCTCATAATCCTCATCTGCGTCCGAGGTCCATTCAAGTCGCCTCCTCACGGTTTACCAGCTGCGTTGCCGCCGCAGCACAACATTGGCGATGCGGAGGTCGACGCCCTGCCCGCTGCTGTAGAAGCCGCGGCAGGGGAAACTTCGGGGGGGGATAATGCGGCGGCGCAGGCATTTTCATTGAGTGGTGCGGCGACGGATGGAGGCAGAGACGAAGCTAGTCGATCGCCAGGCAGAGCACGCCGTTGCGCTGCAGCACCCACCCGAACAGGAAGGCCCACATGCGGTAACCGATCATCCACGCGCCGCCGCACACAAAGAGAACCGTCGGAAAGCCGTCCGGAGGCGGCGGGTGCGCCGCGATGTCCGGCGAATAGACGTCGAGCTTGTGGCGGGAGGAGGGGCCGTACCGCACGCCGCGGCTGACGCCGGCGCCGTAGAGGTAGTGCGCCGTCGCCGGGATCCAGCCGGGGATGAGCAGGGCGACAAAGAGAAGGAGCCTCACCACTCGGATCAGCACTTCATAGAAGACGCTCCGCTTTGCCCACAGCAAGAGGACAAAGGCGACTCCGGTGGAGAGCGCCGCGTCGAGCGCCTCGCCCAGACGCTCCAGCGCGTGCACGCCACGCCGGTCGGCGGTCGCGAGGGACGCCCCGGGCCGAGGCGAAGCCATCGATTGCGAGCCGCACGAGGACCGTCGCGAGTCGGCGGAGCGGAGATAAATCTCGTCGAGCTTGGGTCTACAGAGCGGCGACGGCGACTTCAGCGACGGCGACATACGACTGGAGTCGGCCATGTGTGCGGCGAAAAAAGAATTTACAAGTTATTCACGCGACAGACACGGCACGGGCGACGGCTTCCTCAGAAGCCGTCGTCCTCACCGTAGCCGTCGTCGGACCCCCAATCAGGGGGATAGTCGAATCCGCGAGCACCGTGGTGCTCGCCGAAAAGACCTCCCCCTCCCACTCCCCCTCATCCCAACCGCGCGCCTACCCCGCCGATGGCCGGTGGGGCGGGAAACCCCGCCCCACCCCCCATTGCGCAGCAGGGGTTCGAGGTCCTCGCTGAGCAGCAGAAGCCGCCCAGCCCGGACCTCGTCCCTCCACCCCTCGAAAAAAGAATTCAACAAAAAGAACTCTCCCGCGCAGCACACAGGTTCGACACAGGTACCAAAAGAGGCACAGCCTGCGACGGACCTTTAGAAGGCGCCGTCGTCCTCATGGAGGTGGGCACGATCGGGGGGACAGTCGAATCCGCGAGCACTGTAGTGCTCGCCGAAAAGACCATCCCCATCATCCCAACCCCCCCGGCGACCCCCTCGCCGCTTGCCCCGCCAGCGGGCACTGCGCGACCCACCCCCGCGCCCTCGACCGCGCCCCCCGCCAGGAGCATATCGCATCACCACCGCCCGATCCTCGTCGAAGAGCAGAATCTTTCCCGCCTTCACCAGCTCCTTCCACCCCTCCGTGTCCTGCAACGTCGTGGCGCCAGCCCATAGCTCCGGCCCTCCGTCTGGATAGCCGCCCACTGGGCAACCGAGTAGTGGGAGGGGCGAGATTGGCGAGCAGTGGGAGGGCCGTCCGGCTCGGCGCCGCGCGCCGCGCCCGAAACCGCCCCCGCTGCCTCCTCCTCGACCTCCTCGTCGGTTGCCGTGCCCACCGCATGCTCCTGGACCTCGCAAAAGAAGAATGAGTCCAGACTCCGACCCCCGCCGCAACGTCCGGAGACTGCGGTGTGGGTTCGTGGCCGGGTGTGGACGGTACGCGGGTACAACCAGGAACAGGCAGCGGGCAAAGGCAGCTGCCCTTCCCCTCCTCCGCCGGCGGCGCGGATTCCGAAGTGTCAACAGACACAGCGGGTCCAACACCGCCAGCAACAACTGCGGCCCGCGCCTCGGGCGCCGCTCTCCGCCTCGAAAAAAGAATTTTAGTGCCGAAAAAGAATGCAAAAAATGTTGCCTCTGCTCGTCTTCCTGCTCCTCACTCGGCCGGGCGGCGGCACGGGTGGTGCGGAGGCGTCGCCGCCGCGCGTGCGCGCGCGCGGGGCGGCGCCGGAGCCCACCTGCTGGCGCCGCCACGGCGCGACGCCCGGGGCGGAACGCGGGGTCGAGAAGACTCATGGCGAGGCTTCAGAGCAGCTCCAAAGCGAGCATCTCGCCCCGGCCCTAGCGCCGCTGGCAGCTCGAGCGCGAACGCCTTGTCGAGTTTGCCAGTCGGGATCACGAGGGGGGAACGAGGAGGGGGGAATGGGCGGTCGGCGTCGGGGTAGCAGTGACAGGGCGTACGGGGTAGTCGTCACACCCTCCTGCCTCAAAAGGGCGGGGCTGTCCCGGAAAGTGAGAAACGCCGGGCAGCGTGGCGCACAACGAAACCTCCCATACGTGCTTGTGCTCCTCCTTTGCTGTCCCATCTCCTCATCTCTTTCCCGCCTGGGCGGGGCAGTGGGCGGGCGCGCGGTGCGGCGTGGCGTGTGCGTGTGTGCGACTGCAACGAAGGACCGCTCGCAAGGGACCATTGGGTTTGTACTATTAACAACGAAGGCGCTCTCAAAAAAAAATCCTGTGCGGCGAAGAGAGATATAGGAAGAGGGGGACGCCCAAGGGTGGGCGACGGCTAGCGCACCACACCCCTCTCCTTAAAATCCCTGTGTGGTGGCGACGTGCCGTCCTCCCATCCCATCCTTTTTTCTTTCTTTTACACTGGGCACGGGACTGGCGCGCACTGTGTGCTCTAAGTGGCTGAAAACGTGATCAATTGTTTTTTGAGCCCCTACGCCCTCGGGACGCGCACCGCGCTACTGCTCCCGGGCCAGGGGTGTAAGGGAACACACTAGGGCACACCAGGGCCGGTCTAGCCGGCCTTATCCCGCCCACAGCCTTCGAAAACGCACAAAAATCGCACCGCCGGAGCCGCGGCGAATCGCTACCGGAGGCCGCGTGTCGCGCCACCGACGGCCGCACATCGCACCCCCGGCTCCGCGCCGCTGCTCCACCGCGCCGGCCATCCAGCGCGCACCCCCCAAGCTGCTGGTGCCCTCTTAAAAAGCCACAAAGCCTCGAAAGTAGCCGTCGACCGTCACCTGACAGAAGGATGTCGGCCGCGGGCTCGCCGCTCTTGCGAGCGGTCGGCGGCGTCTAGGGCGGAGCCAGCGGTAGTAGCGGTGGTGCCGGCGTGTGCCGTGACGGAGGGGGTGGCGGCGGGGCGCGGACGGCGGGGTGCGGCGGCCGAGGCTCGAGCGGGGGGGGCGGCAGCGGTGGCACCATCGTCGGCGGAAGTTCGACCTGGCGGGTGAGAGGTGGGAGGCGCCGAGGGCGGAACCGCTGCGGACGCGGCGAGGTTGGAGGCGCAGAGGCCGAGGCGGCACGGGCGGCGGCGCCGACGGCACTGCAGCGCCGGTGCAGCGCCGGGGAGGGCGGCTGAGGTGGCGCGGACGGCGGTGGCGAGAAGGCGGGCGGAAGCTTAGACGGGTGGTGGTGGAGGAGGAGGCGGCAAAATCACGGGCGAAGCGCCGAGGGGGGCGGCGGAGGCGGTGCACCAGCGGTGGGGAGGGTAGCTACGGCGGCGGGGTAGCGGCCAGCATCGCCAGGGGGGGCGGGAGGTGCCGCGGGTGCCGCACGGGCGGCGGCGGCCGTGCCGGTGATGGCGCCTGGGAAAGGGGAGGCGCGGGTCTGAGAGGCGGACGCGCGGGCGGGAGAGGTGAGTGAGACCACGCACGCGGCTGCGGTCGCGTCGCGCCGTGCGGGAGGGGCGCCGGCGCAACCACGGCGGCAGCCGAGGCGGCTCATCGCGCCGTGCAGAGGCTCGGGGGAGGCGCGCGGTGCGGCGGCGCACCGCTAGATCGCCGCGACAAAGTGTAGCCGAGGCGGGGCGGGAAGCGCCCGAGCCGGCCGTTGGGGCGGCGCCGACGCCGCCCAGGATGCCGTGGGCCGATGGTGCGGAGGAGCGGCCGCTCCCCCTCTCGGGGCGGCCGCAAAACCTGTGCAGCAGCAGCACGCCGAGAACGCGCCTGGATTCGACACTTCAGCTTTTTTTTTTTTGAGAGCGCCTTCGTTGTTAATAGTACAAACCCAATGGTCCTCTGCGAGCGGTCCTTCGTTGCAGACGCACACACGCACACGCCGCGCCGCACCGCGCGCCCGCCCACCGCCCCGCCCAGGCGGGAAAGAGGTGGGGAGATGGGACAGCGAAGGAGGAGCACGAGCACGTATGGGAGGGTTCAGTAATGCGCCACGCTGCCCGGCGTTTCTCACTTTCCGGGACAGCCCCGCCCTTGTGAGGCAGGAAAGTGACGGCTACCCCGTACGCGCCTGGCGTCGTGCCGTCCCTCGGGCGGCTCGGACGCGCTCGGCCCGAGGCTCTGCAGGAAGGCCTCGCTGTCATCTCGCTCGTCGCACCGCCGCCG